TTTCTTTGACCTGAGTATATCATAGTGATCAACAAGTTATTTATTATATTTTAATTGTAAACACCTATTGCTTTAGAGCACTAGTTGAAAAATAATGGATATAATTGAATACTTGTAGGATTAATGATAGTTTAAGAAAGAATCTATCAACTCTAAATAATGAATTTGAGCTCTATTAAAAATTAAGACCTTGACCAGAGTAATCGAATGAAAAAAGAAATGAGTTTTCTTAACTTGTTAGAGTTTTGACAAATTATACCATACTTTAGAGTTAATTCAAGGTTGTAAGGATGGAAGAAAATATTATATTATTTTCTAATGGTTCTTAAAAGTAAAATATAAATTACTTCATACTACCCGGACGTTGAGGAGTGTTGCTAGACACTAACCTTGATTAGTAAATTAATGATTATTAATTTATTACCGTCTTGGTATTGAACCAACAGAGTCATACATTAACGAGTGTTTTAATCTTTGTAAAAGAAAATTTTTTATTATGTGATGATTTAAATTGTAGAATTTATTTTATCAAATAAATAATGTTTCTTTTAAATGAAATATTATTATATATTCTTTGCTAGCACCAAGGATATTAATAATGGGGTAATTATAGAGTACAATTTTGATAACTGACTAAAATTCAAAAGTTGAAAATGCAATTGACTTGGTCAATAGTTATCAACAAAAGAAGGAAAACCAATTGATGGTTACAAGATAGTGGAGCAATAAGCAAGGCACTAAAAATTTGATTTTAAACGTGAGTCCACGAGTTAGGAATTGATACAAATATATTATTATATATATCAAACCAGGTATTGTTCATGTGACACTAAGAAAATACAAGATCAAAAGTTCCTTTCCTCTCTCTCACTTTGCCGGTGATCGTTTCATAGTCAAAGAGTTGACGTAAATAATTAGTCTCGATGTGGATATGTGTGGGGTCTTCACACTATTGAAAAAATTTTACAATTCGAAAAATCATAAACAGTACATAATTTAAACTTTTTCATCTGATCTGATATATTTTGGTACAAAATGAATCATATTTTTCCGTTGTTAGTGTTAAGAACACTAGTTTTTAACATAACATATTGCTATTTGTCCACTTTTTATTATGCGACTTCAAATCTTTTTTCTTTGGAAGCGTTTTAACCTTACACTTAAGTGCGTTTTATCGTGTGTGCTGGCATCCTTAATAATTCATCAAGTTAGTATAATTTTGTTTGGGAAGCGAACAAGGGAAACAGGAAGTTGCTCTTGATTGTTTGAAGCAAGGGTTGATCCCTTTGAACATTAAGAGGGAATGCAAAGCGAAAACTCATTGTAGGATTGTGACTTGGTGGTTTTCGAAATGGATGTACTCCTAAAAGCGTGTTATGCCATAAAAATTGGACATAAAGCAAGGACCATGAAAACAAGGTGAAACCTTGGAGAGTGCACTGATTCAAGCCTATAAAATCATAATTTTGAGCCTAATTAAAATTTATATAGAAATAGGCTTTATACTTGTAGGAATAATTTTTATTGTCTTGTCTTCTTTTCTTTATAGTTTTAAGATGCAGTCGCTTTACTAGAAGAAAGTAACAGGACATGAGAAAAGCCTCTAAAAAGATGTTCACTAGTCTCACGAGGAAAGCAACCCACGCTTATCAGTTTCTCCACAAGACACGAGTTAGGGAGGCTACGCTCCTTTTTCTTATACACATCTTTATTATATTGCATGATTCAAACTTGCAATACCACACCGAAAGTTCATCAATGAAACCCTTAGTCTAGACATTGCCACCAAATCATGACCCTCTATTGTTACGCATCTCCCTACTGGAGTCACTAATTATTTTTGCACTAAAATGGATATTAGGGGGGCTTACAAAGCATAGAGAAGAAGAAAAAGGAGATTTTGCAACATATCAAGGTGAACAATAAGAAGTGTTTTTGATTGAAGTATTGATGAATACTTGTACATCCCAATCACATTTATGTTCATTTATTGAGATATATCCAAATAACACATTAACTGCATAAGTACAAACAAAAGTGATGTTTTAATGGACTGGGACCAACAAGTTCTAATCCTTGACTATTACATAGTGTTTGAAAAAAGGAGCAAACATTCCTTCTCTTACTAATAAACCACCCATTTTAACGTATTACGCTGAAGTGAGGACATAAGCTTCTACAAAAAGTGAAACACTCTTATCTTGTTGACAATCTCGAGCTTCTTGCTTTTGTAATCGGATGGTAAAGATGAAAGTCAATCTGCTGAAGAATATGTGATACATTTGCAGCATATGAAGCTTGGTGTCTGTGTCCTAATTAGTTTTGTTTTTGGTTTCTTTACTCATGCGAGGTAGTTTGTGTGCCTTTAGATATGTATTTCCTTGTTAATTTGATTGTGTTTTGAATCCTCGTCTTACCCTTTCGTTTGGAGCAGACTACTGCTTGAATAATTGACTATGGGAAAGTCATTTATAAAAGTTAAAAAAAAAAACTAGAAGAGAAGTAATGTAGTTAGGCATACATGATGTCTCGGTTCATTTTTCCCTTTTGACAAAGAAAGACACAACATGGTGGTCATAGGATCTGTAAGAGCACATGTTGTTACTAAGAAAAAGGTACAGAGTTCATGTCATAGGACCTTGCGTTGCTAAGCTTCCTCCTGTCATGTGTTATTTTATGTACACGCACCAGCCATTATCCATTGATTGCGTCCTATACAAAAGCCAATTTCGCTACTTCAATCACTAGTCCAAACCAGAATTTCGCATTACTTCAAATATGATTTTTTTCTTCAGGTTTTTTTAATACGTGCACATGTTAATGAATTACGAAATATTATAGTTTTATTGAAAACTAAAATATTAAATGTTATTAATACATTGAATCATGTGATATTTTGTTATTTCTAAAAAAATAACCCTACATCAATTTGTATTATGTGTTTTTGGGTATAACAGCTATGAAATGGAACGCTGCCAGATTAGTGTTTCTTTGTTGCTCCTTGATTAGGGGATAAGTGCTGCATACATTGATTATTGTCAAAACACACAACAATTATCTTCAGCTCTAAAATGCATTTTGCTGACAAAAGCTAAAGTGAAGAAAGCAATAAAATTAGTCCAGGTTCATGGCTAAATGTTTGGATAAAATATTCTTTTAATTCATATTAATACAATTTTATTATCTTTTAAACCTCTAGCTATCATCATTTAACAGTGATGTAGCATGTATTTTATCATGTCATATTATATTACACCTTAGAATAAGCAAAGGCTTTAGCCACCATATCTTGGAGCCGGCTGATCCTTCAACAGTCCATTTCTCTCGTCGTATTGAACACAAAATATATCTATTATTTGGGTCGTCAATTTCAGTGGACGAGTTGAATAGGACAATAGATATCAATATACGTACGGTTAATTCTATTTATAAAAGTAATTAAGGTAATTTTTATGGTATTTTATTAATTAAGATAATATTTTATGCTTTATATATATAAAATAATTATTACTGTTAATTTTATATTAATAAATAATATAATTAGTAATTCATTTAAAAATATATAAATATTCTTTAATTTTTAAAATATTAAAAGAATACAACTATTAATTTAAAAAACATATATAGTATTTTTTCAAATTTACAATATTATAATAAGCCCTAGTAATGAATTATTTTAAAATAGGCGAAGCAGATTTTTGTTTTCCCTCTTGAATTTCATTGGCCCACTTGTGCCACACGTAACAGCAACCTTTGTCTTTATGCATGCAAATAGTAACAATACTCGTACGAGATATTTTACTCCAACTCATTTTCTTTTAACTAAGAAAAAGATAAGGGAAAAGAATTATTAAATAAGATAGATAATTTAATAAACAGAAAAAAAATATTTATAGAAAAATTTTATAAAAATAAAATAAATTTACGTATGTATTAACCTTTTCCTATGCACCTTCTTTAAAAATACATTAACTTATTTGCATGTATTTATATTGTAAAAATATTTTAATCATCATTCAATAATATATTCTATTATTTAATGTGTTTAACGGGGCATGATTTATCAAGGTTTTTAATAACAGCATAACATTACAACGTTAATGAACGACTAACCTTTTTATATTTAAAAATATGAAAATTATACTATTTTCTTATTTATGCCTACACAATTAACCCTGGATCTAATTATAAGTTTTTTGAATTAAATTTGTAAAACCAATGTAATTTTTATATTATTATTTGAATATATGTTGTCATATTAATTAATAAAATTGGTAATATATAAGTTAATTTTTTAAATAACTTATACATAAAGTATTGAATGATAACATAAAATAGGCTTTTAAAATAATACAAATTTAGTCCCCATCGATATTTTTATACTCAAAATCTTCAATTTTTAACCACAATATTTAGGGTTTATAATAGAACTGAAACATGAGAGATAATTTTAAATATTTAGAAGTAAGAAGTTTATATAATATGATATTATTGTTTAAAGGGAAAAATATTATTATTATTTTGGTTGAAATTTAATATTGTGATTGAATAATTTTGAATAAAATATAATTTATTTATTAAAAAAAATGAAATTTAAGATTTTCAAGTTGACGAAAAAGGACACTAAATTTACTAGATTTAAAAGTTGACAAATTTAATTTGTTAAATTTAAGGTATGCATACTAGTCCCGATTCAATGTATCTGCAAGGAGTAATGAAATCGTCCAAATACATTTATCACTACCTCCCCACCATCACAAATCATTTCTCAGATGATATCAAATTATCAATATTTCATTAATTATCTATTTAACTCACATATAACTCGGATGATTATTATTAATTTTGCTTATGACAAACAATCATAGTATTTTCTGAAAAAAATAAAAATAAAAATCTTATTTAGCAGTGAAATTGAAAAAAGTGAGCCACCAAAAACCAGAACCGCTCCATATATATAATACTAGACCCTGCACTTGGCAAAGCACTCAATCATCAACACTTGCAGCAACCATGGGAGAAGTAGACCCAGCTTTCATCCAAGACCCACAACACAGGCCGAAGCTTTCTAGCATACAAGCTGAAGGAATTCCCGTAATAGACCTTTCTCCAATAACCCGCCACACATTTTCTGACCCTTCTGCTATTGAAGCCTTGGTGAAGGAGATTGGAAGTGCATGCAAAGAGTGGGGTTTCTTCCAAGTAATAAATCATGGGGTACCCTTAATTCTTAGGCAGAGGATCGAGGAAGCCTCAAGGTTGTTCTTTGCACAGAGTGTGGAGGAGAAGAAGAAGGTTAGCAGAGATGAGAGCTCTCCGGTTGGTTACTATGACACGGAACACACCAAGAACGTTAGGGACTGGAAAGAAGTGTTTGATATTGTAGCCAAAGATCCCACTTTCATTCCTGTTACTTCAGATGAACACGATGATCGTGTTACTCAGTGGACTAATCTATCACCTCAATACCCTCCAAACTTCAGGTACTTCATCTTTAATTTGTTTTCATGTCTGTTAAAAATATGGAAAATATCAAATATATCGATTATTTTTAGAATATTTTTTATGAGTTTATATGATTAGTTTCCTTAATTCTTTAGTTTTTTTATCTTCTATTTTCCTGTTTTGTATTTGCACATGCGATTAACATCTTATAGATGTTGATAAAAAAAGTTAACATATAAATAAATCAATCAATAATAATACATATTATTTTTTAATATTTTATTTTTTTAACAGGAAGAATGTTTGGATCACACTTTTTAAAAAATTATTTCTTGTACCACTCTTTCTTATTAATTTAAAATTATTGAAATTTATAAAAGTACGAATAAAAATCATTAAACAAGATGTAACACATGATTTTTATAATTTTTTTTATTAATTTTACTTAACAATAAAAGTTTTATTTAGAATAGTGTTAAAAAATACCTTGTGATATTTTTCTTTCGACAATGTGTATTAAATTGAACTGTAGATGGAGAATTATTGAATGGGCTGTGATGAAAATGATGTGAACATGAGCAGGGTTATAGTACAAGAGTATATTGAAGAGATGGAAAAGCTGTCCTTTAAGTTGATGGAGCTTATAGCTCTAAGCTTAGGCCTTGAGGCAAAGAGGTTTGAAGAATATTTCATCAAAGATCAAACAAGCTTTATTCGACTGAACCACTATCCTCCATGCCCTTACCCTGATCTAGCTCTTGGTGTTGGTCGACACAAGGACGGTGGAGCCTTAACCGTTCTTGCCCAAGATGAGGTTGGAGGACTTGAAGTGAAACGTAAAGCAGATCAAGAATGGGTGCGTGTCAAACCTACGCCAGATGCTTATATAATCAACGTCGGTGACATTATTCAGGTACCACTAATTATGTAGCAAGTATCAACACCTCTCTTATTAGAACTGTCATGGATTAGTATCTTTTCAAAATTTGTGCCCCGTATTTAGCTATAAATAAGAATGAAGATGTTGAAATTTTACTGACTTTAAGGCTAATGATTATTGGGTTTGTGGAATCCCAGTTTTGAATTGTTTAGTCGTTTTGTTAGACTTGAGAATTGGAGTTGTTTTTGTAGGTTTGGAGCAATGACGCCTATGAGAGTGTAGAACACAGGGTTATGGTTAACTCTGAGAAAGAAAGGTTTTCCATTCCGTATTTCTTCTTCCCTGCACATGACACCGACGTTAAGCCTTTGGAGGAGCTCATAAATGAACAAAACCTTTCAAAATACAGGCCATACAAATGGGGCAAGTTTCTTGTCCACAGAAAGAGCAGCAATTTCAAGAAGAAAAATGAGGAGAACATTCAGATTTATCATTATAAGATAGCTTAAAGGATAAGATATTAGCAACCCCACTTAGCTTATGCATGTAAATTGGGGTTGTGATTGAATGTTTATGATATGAGGGATTGTGGTCGAATTTGCTGCTACAGACTACTAGTGTCCATGATGTACACAAGTAGCATCGAATAAAAGAAACTAGAAAATTAGACCAATATCATTTATCATATTGATAACCAAAATTGAAATTACATTGGTTCTTGATTTTATTGTTTGACATTTTTAGTTCCATGTATATCGTTTAATAAGATTCTTGTCGATCATAAACTATTTCTTCATTATTAAAAAGATAACCTTTTCCATCATGATTTTTTTGATTAACTTGCACGAAACTTAATTAGAGCAAGGGAACAAATTAGTCCACCATCACTCCGTTTATGACGATGAGGTACATGTCATAGTTTATATTTATGCATGATTAAACAATAGCAACCGTCCAAAATTAGTTTCTGGAGCTTTTGTTGAAACGCTTATTTCGTTGGCCAATAAATTATGCATTTGCTGCATTTGTCTCTGCCGAATTTCAATCACTTTCAAAGCATTTATCTCCTTATAATTCATTTTATATAAATAAACACATGTATAATATATTAATATTGTATTTTTTTTTATATCATAAATTTTTTTACTAAAAACAATCATATTTGAATTGAATAGAACTAACATGGATAATAAAATTTTCTTGCTGAGTATTTAATGTAACTGTGTTTATTTATATTCAAACTCAATCTGTCTGTTTGGTGGTATATCAATATTGTATATTATTGATATATTTTTTTTCACATTTTAATATATTATTATATAATGAAGCTTTCAACTGTTTAAGAAGATGACTCGATAGGCAGACCCTGTTTTATTATTTTTTTAAAATTAAAACTAAATAAAAAATTATGGAAATTGCTTATATATATAATAATATTTTTAGAAATAGGATAACTTACAATAATTTAAAACAGCATATTCTTAATTTATCTTTCACATACTTTTCAAAGATTAATTAACTATTATAAATAAAATAAATTGAGTAAATAAAATTAGTAATTTTTTTAAGCATTGTACGCATATTGTTAAATTAAAATTAATTTTTAATTAAACTATGAAGATTTAATTAAATTTTGATAAAACAGTAGAAATTGACGAGTTAATTTAAATATTAAAAATTATATTAGTTTTTAATTATTTTCATAATTAAATTTGAAACTCTGAAAATATCCCATAGTCTATTTTTTTTTAAAAATTATAGACACATAACACAACTTACTTGTAAAAACCTTATTTTTTGTTGATAAAATATTATTTGAGAGTGTGTAATTTCTCAGAGTTTATAATTATTATTTATATTATAAGTGCATTATTTTTAAATTAATCTGGTAACTTTTTTCTAAAAAATTAAATATACACAACTTAAAAAATAATGGATAAAAAAATAAAATATACTTTAAATTTAACTTAAACTCGAGACAAAAAAATTAAATTAAAATAATTTTTGTCAACTGATGTAATGTATGTGTTTGATAGCTTTTTTTAATAATCTTTTAAGTTATATAAATTTATTTATCCTAAATTTTTTATTTTCAATTTACAAAATTTAAAATAAAAGATATTTTATAAAATTAAAAGCTAATAAAAAAAATTAAAATTCATATCTTAAAATATTTTATTCACACAATTTTAAGAATGAATTTGAGAATTTAATTGGGAGAACACTCCCTCTCATGGCGAAATCTATAATAGAAAGTAACTCGTGTAATGAACAAACACCACGTGAGGCTTATGCTTTTGCAAATAAACGTAATGTTACAAATAAGTACATGACAAAGAACAATAGAAAAAAACAGATCCTTAATTGAATAAACTTCACTAGCAAAGTGTTCAATCATCAGCACTAGCAACAACCATGGGAGAGGTAAACCCAGCTTTCATCCAAGACCCACAACACAGGCCAAAGCTCTCTACCATCCAAGCCGAAGGAATTCCCGTAATAGACCTCTCTCCGATAACCCATCACACAGTTTCTGATCCATCAGCTATTGAAGCTTTGGTGAAGGAGATTGGAAGTGCATGCAAGGAATGGGGTTTCTTCCAAGTAATAAATCATGGGGTGCCTTTAATTCTTAGGCAGAAGATGGAGGAAGCATCAAGGTTGTTCTTTGCACAGAGTTTGGAGGAGAAGAAGAAGGTTAGCAGAGGTGAAAGCTATACCTTGGGTTATTATGACACCGAACATACCAAAAACGTTAGAGACTGGAAAGAAGTGTTTGATTATCTAGCCCAAGTACCCACTTCCCTTCCTGTCACCCCAGATGAACACGACGATCGAGTCACTCGGTGGACTAATCCTTCACCTCAATACCCTCCAAACTTCAGGTACCGTCGTATTTACTCAAATGTGAATAAATTTCAACTCCATAAGTTATAACTTTCATTTTAAAACGTAATTCAACGTAATTTTATTGAGTTTCCGCTTATGTTTTGAAAGTAAGTGAAGTTTCAGTATAAACTGCAAATTTTAGGATAAAATTGAAGTGTTCTTGGTATATTTTAATGAAAATCATTAACTTTAACCTTAATTTAAGTAATTAATAATAGAAAATTTTAATGTCACTGTGACACTTAACAAATGGTCTTGTGTTCAATATGATGTGAACAAGAGCAGGGTTATATTGCAAGAGTATATTCAAAAGATGGAAAAGTTGTCCTATAAGTTGTTGGAGCTTATAGCTATGAGTTTAGGCCTTGAGGCAAAGAGTTTTGAAGAATATTTCATCAAAGATCAAACTAGCTTTATTCGACTCAACCACTATCCTCCATGCCCTTACCCTGACCTTGCTCTTGGTGTTGGTCGACACAAGGATCCTGGTGCCTTAACCATTCTTGCACAAGATGAGGTTGGAGGACTTGAAGTGAAGCACAAAGCAGATCAAGAGTGGGTAAAAGTGAAACCCACCCCAGATGCTTATATAATCAATGTTGGTGATATTATTCAGGTAAAGACTAAAAAATTGAATCTGATTTTTTTTCTCCGAGTATATTACTTATTATATACCTAAATTAGTGGAGAGAAACTATTGTGTGAGGGTTGGAGTTGTTTGTGCAGGTTTGGAGCAATGATGCCTATGAGAGTGTAGAACATAGAGTGTTGGTCAACTCTGAGAAAGAAAGGTTTTCCATTCCATTCTTCTTCTTCCCTGCACAAGACACTGAAGTTAGGCCTTTGGAGGAGCTGATAAATGAGCAAAACCCTTCAAAATATAGGCCATACCAATGGGGAAAGTTTTTTGTCCACAGAGTGAGCAGCAATTTCAAGAAACAAAATGTTGGGAACATTCAGATATATCATTATAAGATAGCTTAAAGGGGAGTAAATTTGCGGCACCACATTTAGCTTATGCATAAAAATGGATATGATGTGTGGAAGCGTTGATCCAAGGCAATGTTTCTGATATGAATGATTGCGCATCATGTATTCAAGTATTACCCAATAAAAAAAAACTAAATTAATATATCATTTATCATGTTCATCGCAAAACTTGAAATTGATTGATCTCTAATTTCCTGTTCTAAAATTTTAGCTCCCTGAGAATCGTTTGGTAAGATCCTTGTTGATTTTAACTATTTCTTTATTATAAAGTAGTTAGCCTTTAGCGTCATTATTTGTTGAAATTAACTTGCATGAAGACTACAATGCATAAAGGAACGGACAATTTTAACTCCTCTCTGTTTATGAAATGTTGTATATCAAATCATAATTGATATTTGGGTCTTGGGTACTACTTAAAAAACTAATCTTTAGTTGTACAACTTTCGTTCAGTGGCCTCTTTGTTGTGCTGCTGAGTCCATATTCAATAAATTATGAATTGTTTGCAAGAATTTGGATTTTTTTAATATTTTTGCCAAATTTCAATCGCTTTCAAAGCAATTTTTTAAGACAAAATAATTAAAGCAAACAAATCCATTTCTCTCTAACAATCTTTTTTTATTACTTACGAAATGTCGTCCATTTTAGTGTTAAGAAATTATGATACTTCCATCATACTTTTTGCAGGTTTTTTATCAATGTTTTTATGCAAGAGTACATATTATCATTTATTTAACATAACTGAGAAAAGCCTTTCACTTAAGTAAGAAAGGGCACAAAGAAATTATAAAAAATTTTATTATTTGAATTATTAAAATTTTGCACCGAATATTAGTGTTATTAATAATTTTGTAGACATTTATTATAACTATATGAGTCTTACATTAATGAGCTTTATTAGATTCAATGTTAAACTTATGTAATTTTTGAATTTTAACCATCCTCATCTTTGTTTATTGTGCAAACCATTTCTTGAGCTATACTCAATTTTTTAAGTGATTCTTAAGGTCAATGAAAGCCAACACACAGGCCTAAACACCCATGTAGGTGACGAAATGAGTCAAAGCAAAGATGGAAGTAACTTAGTTCAAACGCGACTCAACAAATATGTCTCGACAACCCGAAGATATTTCAATAAAATGAGTGATGACTTTCACAAGCAAAAGGGTACCAATAGTTATCTAGATTTTAGCCAATTCAATATCAATTATAGAAATTTTGAATTCACTTAGACTCAACTTGTGGGCAATTACACAGGATCAGTTGTAGCAATCTTTCAATTAAGTTTTAATTGCAATTTGAGACAATAAATACATGTATTTTTTGGTTTAATACTTCATTTATGAAATAATAAAAGAAATTATTAAAAAGACACGTAAAAGATATAATAAAGCTCTTTTCCTTTATAAAAAAAATGGATGCAATCAATCCAAAAGTTTGAAAAAAATCATCAAGGTAACAAGTGTTAACAAATAATTCCTGAATTCTTCCCGTCTTATTTGATTTCAAGAGTATGGTAACAAATTCATGAGATGTCATCAAATATTTTTCAATACATTTGAATCAACATTATCTTATAAAGACACGACACCTGATAGCATAACAGAAATCAGTCCAGGTTCAATGTACATAATCTTCCTTTTTTTTTATATATATTTAGATAGTAAGAATCTTAATCAAGTGGTATTTTAACTCTTAATAGGAAATATTCACGAAATGAGACTAACATTTCAGTAATTTCTTATATATATAAAATTGGAATCCAAAAATTTAATTTATGGAAAACAAATATTTACTGCTTTAACTAACCATTATTAATCTCACGTACAAGCTTCAAGTATTTGCACCAAAATATTCTGAACAAAGAAAAATATAACAATGACGAGCATGGGAGAGGTAGACCCTGTTTTTCTTCAGGCACCAGAACACAGGCCAAAATCCTCAGTGATAGAAGCTGAAGGTATCCCTCTGATTGATCTTTCTCCCATAAACTACCAAGAAGAACACACCATCCCAGAAACAGTTTCCTCCATCCAAGGCTTGGTTAAAGAAATAGGAAGTGCATGTAAGGAGTGGGGTTTTTTTCAGGTAATAAATCACAAGGTTCCTTTGGATAAGCGTGAGAGGATTGAAGAAGTTGCAAAAAAGTTCTTTGCACTTAGTTTGGAGGAAAAGCTGAAGGTGAGAAGGGATGCTGTTAACGTACTAGGTTACTTTGAAGCAGAGCATACCAAGAATGTAAGGGACTGGAAAGAGATTTACGATTTCAATGTGCAGGAACCTACTTTTATTCCACCTTTAGCTGAACCAGTTGATGAGCAAAACGTTCAGTTCCAATGGGATAATCGCTGGCCTGAAAATCCTCCTGAATTCAGGTCACTCAATACTATATAGTTTGGTTATCTATATTTCTGTTATTAAATTTTCTAGCCCTGATGTGAGAAAATATTTAAAAGGGTTATTATTTTAAAGGACAATTATGTTTGAATACTTCAAATGATGTCCTTTTGTGTTTTATATGATACACTTATGAGATGCGTCTGTGTATAGAAAAAATTAAAAATTTAGTGATTTAAATAAGGTATTATATTTGAAATAAATTTATTAAACATACAATTTTTTATAGAGTATGGTAGTAGGATAAAGCAAAGTTGTTATTGTGGTTTGATCACAGTGAAACTAACAATTTTGTATACTAATTATGCAAAATACTACTGATATGATACCAGAGAAGCATGCCAAGAATATGCAGAAGAAGTGGAGAAACTGGCTTATAAGTTGATGGAACTTGTGGCACTTAGCTTAGGCTTAGAACGAGATAGGTTCCGTGGCTTCTTCAGACATAACACCAGCAATATCAGACTCAACCATTATCCACCTTGCCCCTACCCTCATCTGGCTCTTGGTCTTGGACATCACAAGGACACTGGTGTCTTGACTGTGCTTGCTCAAGATGATGTTGGTGGACTTGAAGTTAAGAGAAAATCAGATGGAGAGTGGATTCGAATCAAGCCCATTTTCAATTCCTTCATAATTAATGTTGGTGATATGATTCAGGTATCATTTCTCACCATCTAATTTATTTCACAGTTTAGGTGTTACGGACGACCTTTTTCTTTTCTTCCATTATTATTAGTGTGATCGTTGCTCCATATTTATATTATCTTTTATACAACATAGAAGCAATAAGCTCATATACCCCCTATATGTGAACATATACAAGACTTTTATTCGTTGAAACTGTTTTTTACAATTCCATGTAATAATCAAAATAATTTGTCTGTATTTCTTAAATGTTGCTGGTACTATTTATTAATAAAAAAATATTTCTTTTATTTCAGTAATTTGCAATAATATTTAATACAAATATTTTATTAAAAAATTAATTTTAGTTAATAAACAACGCCTAAAAAGTTATTTTGAGTTTTGTCCAATAAAATTTCACTTTAGTGATCAGTGTAAGTAGGAGAGTATAGCCAACAATTTCAATTAGAAATGATTTTTAAAACATTTGACTCATATCACTGAAAATTTAGTCAAGTCGCGTGTTAAAAAATTAGCCCAAAAATTAAAATGAATGCTAATTAGTTTTCTCAAAACCAAATGTCAACCATTCATGGATGTTCTTTGGAGATTGCTCCATTGCCTTTTGGGCCTGGATTTTGGGCTTCTTTGAAATGTATAAAAAAGAGTATAAAACACTCCAATTGGGATCAAAATAGTGTTTTTATTTTATCCCTCAAAGAATGATTATTGTTGTTGTAGAAAAGATTGACAGAGAACCAAAGTAGTGAAGTAGAAGAGTAGTTAGCTTTGTTCTAAATCCTCTGGCCTATGGTCATTAAAGATGGGTCTGTTTGTGCAAGCAGGTTTGGAGCAATGACGCCTATGAGAGTGTAGAGCACAGGGTTATGGTGAACTCTGAGAGGGATAGGTTCTCCATTCCGTTCTTTCTGAAACCAGCACTCTACACTGATGTGAAGCCCTTGGAAGAGTTGACTCACGATACAAACCCTCCCAAATATACATCAATCAACTGGGGCATGTTTCGCACCACCAGAATGAGGAGTAATTTTGTTAAATCCAATGTTCAAAACCTCCAAATTTATCACTTCAAACTTTCCCAGTAGCTTATTTACACTTTATTTGGACCAAAAGAGTGAAAGAGAAATAAATAAAATAGAGATGAAATTAAAAATTTGTAGTTTTTGGATTAATATTAATAAAAATGGAAACCCATTCATGGACTTTTTTTGGTCTAATAGAATACTTTTTTATTTTAACAATATAATGCATAGTCTTAAAATCCAAGCCCAATGTTACGTGGGACTAACATTTTTATTTTTTTTTCTGGTTGTTTAGTCAATGGGCGTGAGATAAAAATTTCAAGTTTTGTATTACCAATTCAAAGAGTTAATTATAAATCCAAGTTGTGAGAGGTTTATAATTTATCTAGCTGAACCCTTCCAAACTAAATCTTTATTAGTCTAGCTAGCCTGTATAGCCTTGCACTAAGCCACTAACTGTTACCCTTCCAAGGCCCTTGGTTAATTTACTCATATCATTAGCAAAAATTACTTATAAATGTGCGACTATGTTAGAAAAGATAAAACAAATAATAATTGTGAAAAAAATAGTATCTATTGAGGAAAAAACTATACAAGATAATTTGAATAAGTGTAAAAAAGTTTATCAGAGGCATTGGTTGATTGCATACATTTTAAAAATAAATAAAAAGGACAAATTTTTTTTGAAATTTTAAAAAATATATATATAATACTAAATATTATCTCCAAAATATTTATTTATGACCTAATTTAGTGATGTAATGTGATTTATTAGCCAATTTTGAAATAAAGTTTTTGTTGCTGTTGTATTGTAGATACTTAACACAAAAAATGAATAAGATGGAAGAGAGATAGAAATAACTTTATTTTTACATGTTGGTATTATGGTTTGTATTTGATTGAAAAATTAAATGAAAATTGGAAATATGTCATGTCATAATTGCTAATATTTTATCAAGGAAAACATTCTGAGAATACATATCGATTGAAACAATATTATTTTTTATTAAAAAAAATTAAGGCAAAACCAAAACATCCTAATTCCCCAGAGGTGCTCTTTCTGCCTATGTAACCATGATACTTCTACAAAAGTGGTCTGAACATTAAAAGTCTTTAGTCACACTTAATTTGTTCGAAAATATTATTTTAATGATTCTTAAAGTACAAGTTGAAATTGTAAATACTTCCAACCTATATATTGCCTCCATTAACCAAATAATCTGGATGCGTCACTATACAATCAAAATAATGCTTTAATTCAACGATCTCTTAACGTCCCTTGTATGAAAGCTATTTTGGCACCAAACGGTGGTCATTGGAAAATTTTATTAACAGTTGACGAGTTTGTGTTGATGCTCATTGCTCAAAGTCCTAATTGTGGCATTGAGATGGAAAAGGAAAAAGGGAATCTAAACCACTTTGTTCTAGTACTTTGAAGAAAGTGTTTCATGGTTCTCCTATCTTTTACAAGCAAGACAGCAGGCATCAAAGTCAAAGCACGTTGTTCTAGTACACGGATCATGTCATGGTCATGGCACATGGTAATAACAGTGCTCAAATGATGGGGTCATAGGGTGCTTTAGACTTGGCAGCTTCAGGGGTGAACCCTCAGCAATCGTTGGAGCTGAAATTCATTTCAGAGTATTTCAGGCCTTCGACAGAGTTGATGGGATGACTAGGTGGTGATGAAAGAGTGGTTAGCCATTTCTCATGCCATGGAACATTTTCCACACAAGATAGCTGTGCCTGTTTTTGTCACAGCCTTAATGCCTGATCCAATCAAGAGGTATCCCCATCTCTCTTTCTTTGCCATTTTTGAAGCGTCACTTCTTGTTTGTTGTTTCTTTATTGCATCATTTCTCTTTCCTTCGATTAATGTTTTATACTCTTTAAAGATGATATTTAAAAAATAAAAGTAAACTTAAAAGTTCGTTCTTCAAATTACATAAATTAGACATTTTAATTTTCAATTTCTTAGTCTCTAATTTTATTAAAAATACTTTATTTTTTATTTTGTTTTACGATAAATAAAATGAATTTTATTTTGTAAAGTAAAAATAATAAATTTTTAAATCTTAGAAATTTAAATACTCTGTCTCTCTCTCTCTCTCTCTCTATATATATATATATATATATATATTATTGAGGATTTTATAAAATTAATTAAAAAATAGAAAAAATAAATTTGTGATAGAAAGAATTAGAAAAAGAAAATGAGAAATAAAACTGAAGATTGTAAAAAAAAAAAAAAAGCTTAAGAAAGTTAAATATACAGAGGATATGTTTGGAATGGACTTGGAAAAGAGAAGAAAGAATTATATCCTCTTCTCATTTAATGTTATTTATGTTTTTATTTACTGGATAAAAAAATTAGTCTTATTTATTTGTTTATACAAAAATTTAAGACGATATTAATTTTTATTTTTTATTAATCTTTTTTCTATATTTATTTATTTTTGCTTTCAAAGACTTAATCTTTTTTGTTTACATAATATTTGAGTAATTTAATAAAAATTATTAATTAAATTATTTGTTCTATATTTTTTATTTCTGAAAAGGAGATAGTATGCACGGGGGATTCGTGAAGCTCAAAACTCAGTATTTTACAACTTTTCCCATACGATACGAAGGAAAAATATTTTTAAAAAAGGAAAAGAAAAAGTTTTGTGTCATATATCATATACATTTTCGTAATAAATCAATTTTATCAGATAAAATATAAAAAATAATTCATTTCTATTCATGTATATAATTTTTTATGAAACTAAACAATTAAATGATATCAAACAATGTCAAATAAAAAAGGTAAAAGTTTTTTTTTTTTCATGAATTTACTTTTCTCAAGTGGGACGGGACACGTGTAGGCTTAATCATAACTTGTTTGATTTTTTAAAAAGAAAATAGTATTTTGAAAAATAAAATTGGGTGAAAAGAAAGTCACCGAGGAGACAAGGACCATTTGCTGAACACCGCCCACAACGTTGGTGTTGGCCCCACTCTCTTTGCATCCTACGTTTATCTGCTGAGCCACGACAGGTTTGTGTCGGTGCTTGAAATGATCCTGTAACAAACGATTTGCGTAACGTGTTAGTTTTCCATTATTCGTATAAGGTGCCACAAGTAGTGTATCAATTTTAATACAAATATTGCTATTCTAAACTCAAATTCATCATGACTTGTGTGCAATAATTAATGTTTAACTGTATGAAGTTATAAGCTAAATGCCTATGAGAAACAAATATTTATAAAAATAATAATAAATTTCATATTTTTAATAAATTTAAATTAATAATAAAGAATGTATTTTGAAAAATATATTATTAATTCTTTGGGTTAAAGCAGACATAAGTAGTAAAAATTGGATATTTATACATATAAAAACTTTTAGAACATAGTTTCTGTAATGTATGAAAGAAATTTAGTCTCAGATTTATAATCTTCTGTTTGATTTGCAAAGTGCACAATTGATGAGAAGAAGACATGGCAAAGGTGTTGGCACTGTCGCACCCAAGATACGATCAGTGGGACGTGTCTTTGTCGTCTCATTTACGTATCTCAATCAGATCAGATGGGGAATGGTCATCTTTGTAATCATCTATAAACAATAGCCGCCCACTATAAATAATTAACCATTTCTTTTAACAAGCCTATCCCGTTTGTATTTTACCTTGTTTCATATTTGAAATTATTTATATTATTAAATTTTATGTAGACCTGATAATGTAAACTATGTTTTGTTGCTTTCAAGGATATCATATCAATATCATTCCCCAAAAATCAGACCATACACTTTCCATCAATCGAACCATATTTAATATTATCACTTGATATTTTAAAGTTCAGCACAGCAATTTAGTGCGAAAGATAATTCCCGAAAGTTGCATGAACAGTACGTGACATTAGTAAAATTCAACGCAAGCAGAAATCATGGTGGGTTGAAATAAATAAACATATAAAATAGAAAACTGTCTATTTCTGATGAATTTACGAATTATGTTCGTAACAGCTGAGCTAGCACAATATCATGCAATGGCTAGAGGGGGTAAAGTAGGGTGGTGTAATATATATTTCTCTCTACAATTAATAAAAAAAACTACAGAAAGTGGGTATGCAATTTCTTTGCGGTTTGTACATTGAACGGTAAACAATTAGTGAGAGGCTTATTATCTAATCGATAACTCATCGATCAATCAAATATTTAAAACCAATCGTATTAGAAGGTCAAAGTTATGCCAAAAGGAAATATTTAAAAATAAATATTTTTTATAAAAATAAATATTTTTTAAAAACAATTTTTTTAATTTCATTTCTCCTCCGGCTCCTCCTTTTTTTCCCCATAAAACCAATCAAATAAAGTCAATCTGCAAGCATAATTAAGTCAACGCCATTCAAGTCTGATCCAATGTTTGTTTTTTTTTTTTTGGATGTCACGAAGGAACAATTGTATATGTTTGGTGAGTGTTATTGCCAACAGTTCATTAAAAAATATTATTTTATCATACCTTTAAAGCATATAAACTTGAATAATTTACTAACAAGTTCAAAAGATAAAAATGCAATTCAATTTATTAATGCAGAACCGCTTTGCATGACTTTATTATTTAATGGCCTTTTTTTTCTATCTTCAGTGTGTTTTTATAGAGGTACTCATATACTACAGCTTTAATTTTTTTTATTTCAATTAATTTTGAGAAAGTCGTGACCACACACATTGTTTATCAAGCGGGACCGTAAATCATAAATTTTTAGAGTATATTATTTTTTATTAATCAAGACATACCAATAAAAATTATATTATAAATAAACTTTATACTATGATTTCTTTTCTAATCAAGCTTTATCGAAAAATTTAAAACAAATTAAATTATGATACAACTTAACATTTTTTTAGGAGAAGAGGTTATATAATTTTAAAATAGAATAAACATAGTATAATATATGCATTTTTTAAGGAAAAAGAACGCAATTTATCTAACTTAATCATTTTTTATTATGATTTATATTTTTTTAATTTTTAAATAATTTATAGTAACAATTAAATCTCTTAATTTTTTATATTTGAA